AAGAACAATGAAGCCTTGTTTTTTTTTATCTCACAAGACCATCATCGTGTACAAATTCCTGCCCAAACATTCAATAAATACCTTATTCTCCTGATATTGCTGGGGACCGACTTTTTTCTCTTTCCCAAACTCAGTTAAACTCTCCGAGACATCCGTTTTTAGTCGGAATCAGAGAGAGTTTTCGACGAGAACAGAAGCAGGTGGCAGAAAATGCACTTGAAAAGGCATAAAAAATATAGTGTATTTCATTGATCGTCAGTGTATTTTTTTTTTATTGGAATGCAGTTATTGCGAAGGTCAAAATATCAAACCAATTTAGGCGGGCCCCCTCCCACCTTTTGTCGATAAAGTCAGCTCCGATGTCGCACCTTAAAAGAAATTGTTAGATAAACGTGTCAAAGTCAATGCTTCTATAATACGACAAATGTACATGTATGTATGTATGTCTTCCACGTAAACAACGCGCATCTCTTTGCGACGCCATAAAACTTTAAACGACATTATGCATCTCAACCGAAGGTGAACCGTTTCGCACTTGAACTTGACATTAATGTTAGCTCTATCGTCTCTGCACTTTGTATAATATTTGTGTGCATAAATATACGAATGTGTATGTACAAATGTACATGTATAAAAATAAAATTAACTGTGGTAGCTATTAAATTTTTACTTTTCATTTTTGCTTTTTCGTTATTTACATTTTTATTACGCTTATCATTAGTGGCTAAATGCGGAACTTTAAACTTTATTCATATATGTATATATGTATGTTTGGACTTGAGTAGATATATTATGTATATAGTTGTGTGTGTACACCCTGCAGCGAGAAGGTAGACTAGTACGCAAAACTACTAGTTGAATACCAGTATTTTGAAGTTGAAATTATACCAGTTAGTTGTTGCTGTAGCAGTTCACCACTAACGAGATTAATATTCATGTCCACCTCTGTGTAGTTTTATTATACCTATCTAGCATGCGATGACTGAGTTCCATTCTCTGTTAAGATATGTTAAAGTGCTCAAAATGACGTTCATCGTTATATCGTCGCGATAGCCGAGTAGTTAGAGACTATCGCTGTAGGCCGTGTGGTTCACAGTTCGAGTTTCGCCGAAGGCAGATTTTACTTTACTTTTGTTTTCCATTTTGTTACTTCAATTTTTTTTTTGGTGAAGTATAAATTCAAGATGCCCAAATAAACTGGTATTTAACTAGTATAAAGTTGATGCTTGGTTGCTTGTTCATAGTAGGACAATTGTTAATAATCAATTACATGGGAAATAGATGTACTAATTTGTGCCGAATTTCCAACCTGTTGGATTATATTGAACTGCCCCAAAAGAAACCGGCGTTTTTGTTTTAAAGAAAAAAAAAATTTTAATTTTTTTTTTATTTTATAATGAACTTTGATCGATTATGTAACTTCCATTTTATTGAATGACCTAACGCCATCTTCACGGTAAAATAATTATTCTTAAAATTACTCGCCTTAAATCTGCGCAAAAAACTGAACCAAGGGCGATTTTATAGCCTCGTCATTTTCGAAAGTTTTACAATTTAATGAGTTCAGCAAAGATCGAAACAAATGGCAGTGTGGCGGTGGGTGGATGTAACAACAGTACACTGTCAAGCTCTCTCAGTTTTTGGCGAGTGACCAATGATGTGTGCGTTCAAGCATTGGCTTCTCATTTATGGGTTTATACAATTTGTCTAGTTGCTTGCAGTAGACATCCTAATCCATCGTTTGGTTCCGTAGAAGCAGCTCAAAATATACCACACCCCTTCAATCTCACCGAACTGACAGCGTAATCTTCTTTTGGTGAATATCAGCTTTTGAAGTGGTTCGTGGCGCTTCATCGTGCTTAGACCATAATCGTTTTCGATTGACTTTATTCTAAATAATCCATTCTTCATTTCCAGTGATGATTTGCTTGAAAAACGCATCATATGCTTTGTGTTTAAGTTGCATATCAAAAGCGTTAAAGCGGCTCGTTAAAGGAATTTCTTTCAATTTATGTCGTACCCAAATATCATTTTTTTACCGTTATATTTTGTTATGAACGGTTGATTTTGGTATACTTAACATCTCTGTTACATGACGATCCAATTCGATTAAAGCTTTAATATCGTCGCCATCAACTTCACTTCGTTCTGAACGTGGGCTTATCTTTGAGTGAAAAATTTCCCGAACGGAAGTTGACAAAACAACTTCGACGCTGCGGTACTTTGAAGGCCTTATACAATAATACAGCATACAAATTATGCAACTGTTTAGCAACCTGCGATGCATTTTTTTTTCTTTAAGGATATAATAAAATAAAATATGGCGAAAATGTTGTTTTGTGGCCTCCACATAAAATTGACGTCAAACAAGCAAATATAAATAAAATTACGCGTACTTTTTTTTCTAAAGCAAGCTAAAAGTGACAGCTTGCAACTGTCAAAAGAAAAAGTGCAATTAAATAGTCACCAGCTGTCCAAAATAATTGCCAACACCGACTGTATGGAAAATCTCCGGTTTCTTTTGGTGCAACCCAATTAATTAGTTAAGAACCAGCATTTTTCACTGCTGGGTATCTAAGTACATTTAATAGTATTTTAATGATAAACCTTTCGTTTTGTCTGCTTGCTTATTATGGAAATTATTAAATTCGTAGGCAAGCACAATCTTAAAGCTTACGTTTTACGCTCCCTGCTTTTGCAGTGCGCACATAAATATTTTTTCTAATGAAATTAATTAAATTTATTTAATATTAATAAAATGCTAGTGACAACTAAATGTAAAGCAAAGGTGTTGTGTATCCACAATAATACTAGTATGATTAATAATAATAAAAACAACAACTAAACTTTACGGCTTTAGAGCTCTACGTCACTTAATACCCCTTGACTCGATCTTATTTTTTGCCAGGAGGTGCCAAAACTCTTGTTCTCGTATGAAATTTAGTAAGGGCACACCCTGTTGTGAGTCGCGTTTGAAGCTTCTGAAAATTGCATCTTACGAGGAATGAACTGAAATTAAGAAAATATTTCCGAATCGGGTTTCTAATGCTACAACAAGTGTTCTCCGCCAGCATTTCTATGTCACTTGGTAACGTTCATGCATAACTCCTTAAATATTCCCGTGTCAAAATCAGTTGTCCCACTTTTATTTCGAGAGAAAGCGATTTTTTCGTCTAAGTCGTAAACATTTTGCGTAGTCAAAGAAATATGGACCACCCTCGCATCGCTTTAATACGAGACTAGTTTCCATTTCGTTTCGAACAACCGCAAATGTTTTATAGTTCTTGGCTCTGTAGAAGTCGTAGCTGTGCCTTCTTCTTATTTTTTATAGTAAGCCATCCGTTAACCGCAGAGTGGCACCTGTTGAGGATCACCTAAAGTTCTCTCAAGCTCTCGAAACACTTTTTTTTTTCTTCAATTCTCGATATCTCTCAAACACAGCGCGCGTTGCGATCGGCTATCCTTTTCCCCTCTACTACGTTACGACAATCCTCATGGTTCCAAATCTTCTTTCGACATTGTCGAAAACCAATAGTTTCTTTTGCACCTTTTCATTGCGAACTTGAAGTGTCCTTTCACAGCTTCTTATATTGAGTTATTGATGAGTGTCCTCGGAGAGCAGGACGTGTAGTCGTTCCTTTATTATTGCATGGTCGCTTTGGTTATGAGTTTTTCGGTCCGTTATCAGCCTTGCAGCTAGGTAGATTCTCTTATGCCGGAATATAATAACATTGACCACCCCATCGTATTTCAAGCGCCGGCGAGGTTGAAGACCTTCTTTGCCCACGCTAGTATTAACGTCACAAAGCACAATTTTCTCATCGTGTTGGAGGCAACGCTCTTGAGTGCGCTCCAAGTGCTCATAAGAGGCATCTTTGGTCACATTGTCCTTATCCATCGGGGTGGGGGCGCAAATCATCGATATGCCCAAAACTCTCACTTTAATATGAATTGACATTTGACAACCCGCCCGAAAGATATTACTCTACCACAAACCCAAAACCAAATGCGTGCTCCTTTATGTTATATGTGTCCAAAGGATCTACTCTTTATCGTGCTTTTGCCCTGCAATGCGTCTAATGAACGGTGGTGATATATATGTATATATATATATATATATTATCGAGAGCTGGCCAGTTGCACCTTCCCAATTAAAGGACCGGACATTCCAAATGCATGACCTCAAGTCATAATCTTTTTACGGTTGCCGTGGTCGTCAACAAAATTAGAAGCTCTCAACCGAGGCTGCTTTCACAGCTCCATTGAAGCTGGATTCTACGTGACCTCGTTGTTTGAGTGGGCACAATTTAGAAGCGACGTTCGCTCACAGCCGCAAAAAGAGCTCCAAGAGCTCTACGTGGGTTGGTTGTACGTCACAAGTATTGACAACGTTTCCGGTGTGGGTGACGAGGTATCTCTTGATTTATTTTGTAGAACCGCCCGTTTCGACCAACAAAGAGTCGATATTGACTACTGGTGTCCATAAGAACCGCCTTAAATCTATGCAACCGCTTACGCTATGGTCCAAATCAGTCACCCTATGAAGCCTTAATGAGGTCGCTCCAAAGCTGTGGAAGACTATCGCTGAAGCAACGCTAACAGAGCATATACATATTGTACATACACACATATATAGTCATGCATCATTAGCATTTGGGCATAAATTACGATCTGAGTTTCATTGCTGTTAAACATTACCAATAATGGATCTCCAACGCATTTTTGTTGTATTTCGTGTTAAATATTCTGATTACAACAAAGAAAACAAGTTTTTAGTTTCGGCAAATGCCAGCAAAATAAAAACAAATCATCTTTTTGCCACTCAATGCAATCGTTGGCGTGGAAAATGCGGCTTCAATGCTTGCGTTACTCTTTTTTTTTTTAGCTTTTCCTTTACAAACGTTTGGTTCTTTTGCACAATTCGCTATTCCATAATTATTCACTCTACAACTTGCGTAGAAACCTGTTTTAACCGCTTTGCTATTTGTTTTTCATTTCAGCTTTCGGTATGTCGAGTCGCACTTAACTAATCAGTCACTCGCCAGCCACCAAGATGACGCAGAGCAGCACGGATTTCACGCAGATCCATCACGCAACTAGCGAAAAAGAGCAAGAAGCAGCCGCTACAGCATCGTTACAACCGCCCGCTACACAGACAGTGACTTCCCCGGCCAACAACCAGAATTGTGATATATTATTGGGGAACTTCCAGATAAAAAAGAAACGCTACCGCGTCTTGCTCAATTATGATCACATCGTTTGGGAGCGACTGAAGGCGAAGAAGTGTAGCGCGGACACAGAAGCTGAGTGCTATTTGAAACAAGGTATGCAGGATTTAAGCGCACTTCAAAGGCGCTAACTAAACTCAGACAACTTTTTTTGCTTTTGTTTTTCAGGCGCAGTTTATGGCAAACATACAAATGTGCTACATATAAACGAACTAATCAGGGTTAGCAAGGGCAATACAAAGTCAGCGGCATTACGTATAGAGGCACCACAGCCGTTAGCGGCCGATTTTGGTGCACACATTGCGGGGGAACAGCACAACAGCAATACGCCGCCGACCGAACAGTACCTGGTCTTATGGTACGCTGAGCGAATTGTCCGCTCAGCAACGGATTGTAACCGCTGGGATGTTCACAAGCTGGTGTTATACAATGCAGATGCGTACATTGTGCGACAGTGGCATGCGCTGCTCAATAAAATGCTAGCAAATACCGCGCCCATGCGCTTGCGTGTACGTCGGCTGTTGGTCTTCATCAATCCATATGGTGGGCGCAAGCGTGGTCTGCACGTCTACGAACGTCACTGTAAGCCACTATTCCAATTGGCTGGCATCGATGCGTCCTGCATTATTTCTCAACGCTCAAATCAGATACGCGACATTCTACTGAGCCATGATTTGACGCCCTTCGATGCAGTCTGTTGTGTCGGCGGTGACGGTACTGTTGCGGAGGTAATTAACGGTCTCATCTTTCGCGCTATATGTGATGCGGGCCTGGATGCACGCCAACCGCCATACGTGCCAAAGCCAGCGCTGCCGGTTGGCATAATACCGGCGGGTAGCACGGATACGGTCGCATACAGTCTGCACGGCACTTCTGATGTGCGCACCGCCGCCATACATCTGATTTTGGGTCAACAACGCGGCATGGATGTTTGTAGTGTACGCAATCGCGAGGGCGTCATGCGCTTTTGTGCGAGTGTCTTGTCCTATGGCTATTTGGGTGATGTGGCGGCGAAGAGTGAGCGTTATCGTTGGATGGGTACGAAGCGCTATGAATTTGCCGGTGTGAAAACGTTCCTCAAAAACATTGGCTATGAGGCGGAATTGAGCGTGCTGCAGCCCATTAGGGAGTCCAATATATCTGCTGTAGTAGAAACTAATGAAACGGGTGCTGCGTGTGTTGAAAGCACGATTTGCTGTGCGAATTGTACGCGTTGCGAAGCGATTAGCATGCAAGAAGCAGCGCAAACATCCAAGCGTGCCATGCTCAAGAAAGCGATATTGGCGGGTGTGGTTGGGACGGCGTTAACTAATGACGATGAGTTGCCTTCATCGTCAAATGCCTCGCTGAAGAGTTGTGAAGACTATATTGATGAACGTGTGGTTGATACACATACAGACAGCAACATTTGTATGAACAACGAACCTGTGAAGAAAATAGATTTGACGAGCTGTGATAAAAAGTCTGACGTTGCGCCTAAAGTTGCGGCTGCCGATGAAACTCAGTGGAAAACGGTGAATGGTAGATTTTTCATGATCAGCGGCGCAAACATAACCTGCGCCTGTACGCGCAGTCCGAACGGTGTTGCGCGTTACAGTCATCTTGGCGATGGCTATTTGGACTTGATACTGGTGCGAAAGACAACGCTTTTCAATAACATACGACTACTCTTGAATATGGCGGGGCACAACGGTGATATTGTATGTAATCCGTTTTGAAAATCATTGAATATTTTTCATTAATAACAAATTCCCATTGCAGAGATCTTTACCTTTTGTAGAAACTTATCGCACTAAAAGCTTTTCCTTCCGCTCTCCCAATGCCAATCTTGAGGACTTATATAGCATTCGAGGCTCCTGTCAGCCAATTGCCGAATCAGCAGTGGGTTATGATGATAAAAATCTGTCGCGCTGGAATTGCGATGGTGAGGTCATCTACGATCAGGAACTAACTATGATGTATGTATTGAATTTATTTACCTCAAAAATTGCTCTCTTTAAGTTAAATGAACACCAGGAAGTGTCGTTTTTGTTAAATCGGTTAGACGGCAGCTAAAAGTTTAAGCAACCCGTTCTTAATAGTTTTAATTTTTAGTTTTCATTGTGACTCCTGCGGATTAGAGGTTCAGATTTTCCCACGCGAAAAAGCGTCTAAAATCGAAAGGTTCCCACGACAATCGGTTCTTTATACCGCAACGACCAAGGATTGTCACTGTTTTTGAGAGTAGTTAGCGGTCCAACAGTCAGCCCGACGAAATTGAGAAAAGTTATAAATTCGTCTGAGTAGTTCTCATACCATTTGAGTTGAAAACTCCTGAAACCAGTTAGTTAGTTAGTGTATCTGTAAGGCATTCAAAGTAGGAATTGCCGCGGAAACTATGTCGAGCTGCCCTTAGGACGACGAAGTTGCAGAGGTCGTGCTCCACCACCTCCTTCTCGTCTAGGTCTCTGCAGCCGCGACAGATGTATTCAGGAAAGCAGCCCATCCAGGGATATCATTATGAGCAGGGACCCTAATCACCGTTGTTCCGCATATAGCCACGAGTTTGTCTGAGATTTCCCCACATCTTCTTGCCATTTTTGAGGTGGTGTGATTATAATAAAGAGATTTTATGGCAGCTTGGCTTTTAGAGTATTTTTTAATAGGCCGAGACAACGTATTGAAGTTAAGTCTTTTGCTCATGTCGATTGCAGTCGATTCCGAGTGAACTCCGCAAGCCCTAGTTTTTAACCAGGAACCGTGAAGATGAATACATAACCCCCCGTCGCGTTAAATTTAACCGCGGTAAGACAGGCCTGTCGTAAGAGGCAATTAAAATCCAATAGCTCCCCCGGCAGTTCGGTCTTTATACCGGTACGATCTGGATTTTTATCCGGCCAAGGACTGTCACTCCCGAAACATTATCAAAAAAATATTTTGGGGAATATTTTTGCTTTTACAACAACAAATCATTCACCTTTAGTAAGTTTGTTGTCGAAACAGAAAGCAAAAGTGGTGTAGTTCACCTCTACCGAAAATGCTGTTGAATTCAGTATTTTAGAATGTCCTCTATGGTTTTCCCAAGGCTAAATCGCTTGTCTCGAGGGAGAAAATTAAGAAAATTGCAAGCACATCCGTAGGGGTTGAGAGGACAGCGCACCTGTAATGAATATGAATGCTGTCCGCTGCACCTGCACGAAGCTTTGCCCAATGCCGACCATCTGACCGTGACTCCGTAAAATAATATCGGTCTTATTACCGCTTTGTATAGCCAGCCATTTGTTGGAAAAACATCAAGGCGCAGAGGAGGAGCTCGGCCGGAAATTAACTTCAGCGGTTACAAAAGTGCCAATTATATATTATATTATATATAGCCAAAAACTACATATGTATGTGCGGTCTTGGTCCCCTTCTTTAACCTATTGGAGCCTTGCAGGCGTAGCGCGTGATCATAGCTCTTTTACTTCTACCAACCGTATTTCGATTCTATATTTTTGCTGTTTTGTTTTGCTTATGTATGTGTATGCTTTACTTAACATATATTCTACAAATTACTCTCTAACTCTTCTAGTTCTCATTGTCAACTTATTGATGTCTTCATGTGTGGCCCACACGTCTACAACAAACCCTTTAAAGGTGACAAGAGATCGTCATTGCTGTGCTGCTGCTGCTGCTGTGGTTGTTGTAAATCGGATGATTAACATAGCGCTAACATTTTGGAATTCTTCATATTTAAGTTGAAAAGTATGATCTTAGAAAAGTTGATGGGTACAACAATCGTATGCTGTTTTATATTGACAACAATAATGTACTTGCGCAAACGTGTCTTTTCCAATTAGCTGAAAGTAAAAACTGGAATATATTTATAATGATAATAATACAATACTACGAATTATATAAGCCTAAACAAAGAGGAAATCCGATAATTACGTAATAGAAAATGTATGCACAAATGCAATTATGCTTTCGAGAATGCTAAGAACGAAGTTGGAAAAAATCTTATAATTACGTATTTACATATATTTTAAGTGCTTTACATACCTACATACATATATAATATTATTTCGCTACTATTCGATATCCATTCCTCTTAAGTTCTAAAGATATTTTGAGTATGTGCACATATATATATATATATATTAAAGCATATCGCAATTAAACATTCCTTTATCAGTATGAAAAATAATTATGTAAACACTCATTACAAATACGAACGTACATATGTACATATATAATTTATTATGTGATTTATTTTAATATATTATAACATAAAATTTAGTTGTTCCATTTTAATTCTTTTGTTTGAAATTCATTCTAAGAAATATTATTTGGATTTTGTATCGTTTTTGGTGAAAAGTGCGTGTCGAGTTGTTCAATTTGTTTAACCGTTTAAGGTTGTTAATAAATGATAAATAAATAAATCTAATTATCTGTAAATTGTGTGCAAAAAATTTGTATCGTCCCACCCGAATAGCGCTGAATTTGATTAGCACCATCCAAAGCACACACTAATCAAGCAGGCAACCCAAAAACCGAAATTGTATGGCAGTGACTCAACGCGTGCTGTAGTAGTAGCAGTTACTTTTGTTGTAGCAGCAAGTCCAACCCCGCTTAGGTGTAGATAAGATCTTTTTCAGGCATCGAAGGCATCTAAGGGGAGCTCCAGTAAACGAGCTTTTACCACAGGTGCGTGCCAAAGGGAAAGGGGGTTAGATGAGTTGGTTTCAAGGAGCATGCAAAGAGTTGGTTAGTGTCGCGCGTGGACTCGTCGTATGCAGGATGTACGTGAAATCTTGATATGTACGAATTTAATAGACTTAAATTGCGCGGCGGCGCAAACACTTTGTCAGCAATGAGTTGTGGTTTGACTCCGAGAACAGCATTCACAGGTGGAGAGTTCAAGAAGGTGTTAACGGACACTGGGTGAATGACGCTTACAGCTTGTCGGTAAACCGCCTGTCCAACGGTTTTTGTACTTAGTATTGAAAGCAGTTCTTAAAGTCGATTGCTGCGTTCCTGATGTGTCTTGAAGTTGGTTTGACTTCCAGTGAGTTTCTGTAGTTTTCGACCGGCCGATCAATCGCATTTAGGCTGTCGGTTATTGCTTTGAGCATTTTGTTGCGGCCCTGTAGTTTTGTGACAATTACAGTCGTACATTACTAGTAACTTCGGGTTAGTTGTGGTTCGAATTTGCAAGCCATCGACTTCGAACCAGTAACATTCGAATAAAGGTTATTAATAACCTGACCAGATGTCAATATGGAGCAGTCAATGGAATATAGAGGCGGCTTTCAAATGTAAAAAATAAACGATAGAGGGTTAAAGGAGACTGCTCTGCGCTACAACTTCAGTAATTTTCCAGAGTTTTGAATATTGTTCAGAGTTCTATCCATAGTATATGCATCGCACTCGATAGTCTCGGCGTCGGTAAACCTTTTTATCAGTCTTTACATGGTATTAAACTCCTATTTTGATGTATAATACCTTGGTATGAGCTCGGTGCGGTCCTTCTCAATTCCGTACGGAAGTTCTGGTGCAACTCAAAGTTAGTTTATACAACCAATTGGGTGGTAACCAATGCATAACTCATACGCCAGCTTTTGGCCTGAAAAACAAAAACCCAGTGGGAGCCAAAGGCTTATCATGAAGGGTGTCAAAAAAATTTAGAAATTGCTTGGATCAGCATCTTTGCCGAGTATGATCGGATTAGGGCAAGCTGGTTAATTGTAACCCAAGTATGCTGCCTAACTCACAAAATCAGGGTCCTACAGTTTGTGTTAACCAGCGATATGAAAGCCTGGACTGTATTATCTATCTATCTCTTGGAAAAAAACCGTGATAAATATGACAGTTACTTATCAGCTTTTCGAAAATTTTAAAGTCGACCTCGATAGAAAAAAATCATCATGCATCATTCATTTGGCATTTAAATAGAGAAGAAGTTCTGAGATCCCTAGCTGCCCACAGAAGAGAAGCTCCGCAAAAGAATAAAACCAATTTTCAATAATAAAATACGAAACTGGACTGAACAAACTATTTTCAAAAAATTTGGCTAGCGTCAACTTTGTTTGCAGTGTTGGACAGTGCCGGCAAAAAAAGTTTTTCGCTTGTGAGTTTTCGGTGAAGTGTGGCAACCATGGCTACTGTCAAACAATAATTTCATGTCATCGTTCACAACTTGCATTTCATCGTTTCTGCTTATAAAATTTAATTTGATATAATAATATTTCAAAATGTATTCTCACAATAATATCTTTCAAACGGAATTGTGGAAAGGAGGGCCAGCTCCTGGACAATTTTATAATTTTCCCGGAACGAACTACAACAATAGTAACGCCGGTGGTTTCACAGCTCCTGATCTATTTGGGTCCAAACGTTCATCGTAAGTTAGCAAATTTATTAAAATACTGCATATATGAACTAATATACGAGTGTTTTCATTTTTTCAAAGATCACCGATTACTACAGGCACCTCAGTGATTGGAGTGAAATTCGATGGTGGCGTTATGATCGCTGCCGACAATCTCGTCTCTTATGGCTCTTTAGCACGATACCAAGATGTCCAACGTGTTTTCAAGATTAATGAAAAAACTATTATCGGTGCTGGTGGGGATTTCGCCGATTTTCAGAGCCTTAAAAGAAGTATAGATCAAAAGATGGTTGAAGACATGTGTTATCAAGATGATATTGATATGAAACCCAAGTCGCTTTACAATTGGTTAACACGCATTCTTTATAATCGTCGCAGTCGTATTAACCCATTGTGGCTGGAGATGGTTGTTGGCGGTATGCAAGATGGTGAGCCATTCTTAGGTCATGTTGATCTTCGTGGGCGCGCTTATGAAGACGATGTTGTTGCAACTGGCTTTGGCAAACATTTTGCTTTGCCATTGGTACGTGAACAAATTTCAAATGGAGAAGTACTCACCCTAAATCAAGCATCACAAGTGGTAAGAAATCAAGATATTTTTTTTATTTTCAATATAAGTTGAACTTTAATTATATCCATTGCTACTTTTTTTTTAGCTGCGAAAATGTATGGAAGTTTTGTACTATCGCGATTGCCGTGCTATATCCAAATATTCCGTGGCAGTTTCCACAGCTCAAGGCACTATTGTCCAAGGACCTTTCGAAGTTAACCAAAACTGGGCACTCGCTACTATGATTAAGGGCTATTAAATAAAAATATATATATATATACTTATTACTAAACGGAAATAAACAAATTATTATTATTTTCTAAACGTATGATGTTATGGGCGATTTAGGCAATACTTTCCAGCTCTTGAAATATTTTCTCAAAAATTGGTGCAATTCGTCGAGCACAATACTATAAATACAAAGGGATTTAATTGAAGTCTGATTTCACGTGATATTTTTTGTGTTTAGAGTCTAGACTTCTGTTTTAATATTCTACCACCACGCGATTTTAAGAAAACGATAAGGTCCTCTTGGCATAAAAAGGAGGTAGTGCTCAGCTACTACATTTACTGGAACAAATTTAAAACATTAAATTTGAATGTTTATTACATGGAACGCGTGTTTTCAAAATCTTTTTGTATTTCGGAAATCCACTGTGTTATAATATTTTTCAAAGACATTTTCGCCCTGTTTGCTTCTTATAACGGTTATACTTACTTAGGGGAGAAACTCACGCTTTTTATGACTTACGACTTACTTTATTGAGAAATAGTTGGGGTGTTAAAGATATCCTGATACTCACATTAATTGGCTTGACAAAAACTATACATATTTACATATATCTTCCCAAAGTATGCACGTATATATATATGAGAAAGTTTAATACGATTAGTTTTAATACATTAATTTATATAAAGTTTACTTAGTTAACCAGAAAAAAAAAAAAAAAAATAGAGAATGTTGAAACAAGTACTTTCCGGTAATGAGATCGTCGCCCCAATGCACATGCTGTGATCGTGGTGACTCATGATTATATATGCATAATGATATATGTATATAAGATATATTGCATACATTCTTTACGATTTGATTGAAATAATAAATTCCAAGTTTTCAAATGTTCGAATTTCACATTCTCCATAAATCGCGAATTTAATTCAACATTGTACGACGATCGTAGATGTGGCGACGTTGTTCGCGCACTTGTCTCTTCCACTTGTCCGTTTGGTGGCCGACACGATTTAGAACATTAGCGCGAGAATTCAATTCTGAATTAGGTACGCCGGTTGGCATTGGCGGTGAAGTACCACTTGCTTCGTCCTAATAATTGTAAAAAGAAATAAGGACAGTATGTTAAAAATTACAAAGCTAAACAATTTGGTTTAGAAATTAGGTGTTAGTAAAAATTTATGAATGTCTATATGTGCTTAAAGTGAACAAAACACATAAAAATATATGCAGATATGTTTTGTTAGTGTGTTAAAAACATAATTACGAACGTCTTAACGAACGAATGTAAGAATTACTAAAAAAAAAGAAGATAACATGAAAACGAAAACATAAACTAAAACATAATCAATCAGAATCTTTATTGTCATCTACTAAGAGACTATATTGTATGTTGGAATATTTGATATCTACATCTTCGTTTGTGTGCTCCTGATAATTCGCCTTGACGCGTTTGTTTAGCAGTGGATCCAAACAAATGAGGAAGAGCATGTATATAACTAAAATGGATATGATCCAAATCACAATAATGACAACGACCTGTTGAAGAAATATGAGAACACAATAATTTTAATATATTATATAATAATAAATTACTGGGTACATCTTAAAAATGTTTGTTTAAATTTATGCACACAAAAAGCTATATTATTATATTCTAAATATAACAAAAAAACTCACAAACCATATATGTACTTTAAAAATAAATAAATAAATTTGATCATTTCAATAATTTGTTTTATCGCTTTATAAATGTATGCTAACATACCATACAATAACTAAAAAGTGAACATCTTAGATGTCCATACACATACGAGCATTTACGTACAATACATATGTATGTAGATATGTATATTATAAAAACAATAATTATATTATTTACCTTAATCAGTGTGGTGTTGCGTGCTTCATGTTGGCATTTGCATTCCGGACATATTTCCAAAACTTTACCATTTTCACTGAGGCGTGGCAACAAAGCTCCATCGCATACACTAAATGCATTGTTAGTGAAAATAGAAAGGAAGAAACAAGTTATCCTGGGCAAACAAATAACAAAGAAGTTTTTCACTGGGTACATACCACTTGGGTGTAGAGTTTGTTGCACGCACCACGGAGCTTATGAAGTTTGCCGCTGTTGTGCTACTTAACAGTTTGTTATTATCAATTTTATTTTCATTCTTTACTGGTTCAGTGGCATTGCTTTGTGGTGGCACATCTGCTTTGATTAGCTAAGAAAAAAAAAAAACATATTAAGTTATAAAATTGAATAAAGAAAAAAATTAAACTTACCGTTATGCTGAGTATTAAACAAAATGTACTTAACAATATAGCACTACAATTTTTTAATCCTCCTCCAACCATTGCGTATAAAATTAAGTAAAATGTAAATTCTTTATAATTATAATAAAATTTTCCAGGCTTTGTATTTTTCTTTCTCGTACAATGTCAGCTGTTGTTTTGTGAGTGTGTTCATTAAGTTGGATATGACGTTTTACTGTTGGGTGTTGCCATAAATTAAAAATGAAATTCAAGATCTATTTACACCGCCTTAAAAACTGTTGGTTGTTGTTATTGTAGCAGTATTTACAATATAGCTTTGGGACAGAGCGGTTTTGACGGGTTCGTGCCAAAGGAAGAGAGGGGTTAAAGTTGGTTTTAAGGGCATGTCAAGAGGTGGCTAGTATCGTGCGGGGATTCGTTACATGCAATTCGAGCTATTCATCTGCTTTGGGTGGTGATTAGACTTTGAGGACGTCATTTGCAGTGGTGATCTTTTCAATTGGTGTTTGGTCCCTGTCTATACGCCATCCTGTCCAGCGGTTGTTGCACATGTTGTTGGTTCGTGTCTTTCAAGTCTAGTATTCCCTATTGGGTAGCATCCCAATAAAAATTTGTTGCACAGCAAAGCAAGTTCAGAGCATAGTTCGTAGCACAGATACTTCGCTGTGCAAGTAATGCTGATGCGACATTAGAAGGTTTCCCGAACGCGATCCTAAGGGCGGTGTTTTTGCAGGCTTGCAGCTTTTTCGAATGCGTCTCGTTCGTCCCCGGTGCCCAGATCGGTGCAGCCATTGGTACTGGCTACTGCTGACCGGATTTGGTTAACTAATTTCCATGAATATTGGGAAAGGTAGTAAAGAAATGGTTAAGAATATATATCCACTTATGATGGCAGTAAGCCATCTAGAAAAAAAACCTAAATTCTTCTTTAACTTAGAACCAGACACAATTTTTTATAAAGATCTGTATTTAGAATCTTCAGCTTCTTGTTTAAGCTGAACCTCATTCTAACTCAAATTTATCACTTGAGTTACAAATGGATTCCCCAAACAGTCCCTTATTCTGTAGGCATCATTATAATGTTTTCCTTCTGACGTACGGTCAGTATCGTGTGAGGATAAATGAGGCGCTGCACTCACTCGCCAAATGTGTTCTGTTGCGCCATTCAAGGGAAAAGAGTTAATGAATGTGCGAATCTCTATGTCCAACTGCTTCGTGATATGGCGCTAAATGAAATCCGTGGATTAGAATATTCCCTGATATTTCTTTAGAACAGCTTAACATTATGCAGTCATTGTAGCATTGATGTTTCACTGTTCAAGTGGTGTAGAGGCGATAACAGGGGGTTATGGCCTCAGAAAGCGTTCTGACGGCTTCAAATCCTTTTCGTAGGTAAAAAGAAATCGGTAACTTAGTTTCAATGCTTGCGAAACATGGCAGCCCCTTAATAAGTTTGCGCAAACTTTATTTTATACCCAGTCTTGACAGTTGTTTGCGTGTCGTTCGGCGAATTTGACAATTAAAAGTTGATAAGTTGTTGTTAAAAGTAAACTTTACGTATATATACAACTGAAAGTATTTGCTCGAACAATTTGTAAAAATTTAGTTAATATTTTGAAAAATGAAAATGGATAGAAAGTTTTTACCATTGAAAGTAATCCTTGCATTAATCCTCTGCCCTTTTCATACAACTTGTGGTAAGTTTTATGTGGTCGATTGTGATTGGTGGTCTGCCCACATAATGTGCGTTTGTTGCTTTTTCCGGTCACTGATTTGTTATCACTTAATAAAAAGTATTTTCGATTATATTTCAGCGGCTAAAACTAACTTTGTGACGTGTGGGTCAATAATAAAACTTCTAAACTCGGATTATGGCTCCCGCCTGCATTCACACGATGTCAAATACGGTTCGGGCTCGGGTCAACAATCTGTGACAGGAGTTGAATTAAAAGAAGACGTAAACAGTCATTGGGTTATAAAAGCACCAACAAAAAAGCATTGCGAACGTGGTGAACCCGTACAATGTGGAGACATTATACGTTTAGAACACTTGACAACCAAAAAAAATTTACATTCACATCATTTCCCCTCCCCACTATCCGGCGAGCAAGAGGTATCGGCTTATGGCGATGAAGGTGCAGGTGATACAGGTGATCACTGGGAATTGGTTTGCTCGAATGATGAATGGGTACGTGATGCTCATGTACGATTGCGTCACTTGGATACTGGCAGTTATTTGGGTATGTCAGGACGTTCGTTTGGCAGACCGATTTCCGGGCAAATGGAAGTAGTCGGCTTCAGTAGTCCACAACATGGAACACGTTGGACGACAGCGGAAGGGTTATACATTGTGCCTAAGGACAAAGGGTCACACGAGGAGTACGCGCATACTGAATTGTAAAAGAGTCGAAACAAATGCAAAGTGTGCATGTACTTTTTACGAATTTTGTGGTACTTTTCGATTATGTTTCTCTCTTATGTATCATAAGTATCGTTATGATCATATTTAAGTTATTATTATTAATAAATAATAGTTCAATTTGTATTTGAGTTGGTTTCATACATGGCAACACAACATTGTTTCATCGCTCAATTGCAAAAATACTGTAGTACTCTTTAAAATACCAAATAAATGCAATTTGTGTTGAAAAAGAAAAACTCATTTCTTGTTTTAAATATCACGAATGATACATTTTTGGCTTTTCTTACGCAGAGAGGTATGTATATACATATAGTTAATATATTTTTACATTGTAACCGTACACTTATGTATAGTCTGTGAGAGTTCTGCACATGAGTCTAAGTAAGTTGTAAAATGCTGTCTTCCAGCTGTCCATCGACTTGGAATAATGGTTTCAGAGATTAATTACATTATGTGTTGTCAACGAGCCTCTGTTGAATATGGAATCAGTAAAAATGCATTAAAAAGTCCTGCTAATAAATAATTAAAAGAACTCGTTTGGCAATTTCCTTCTTAATAGATAATCTCAATTGGTTTAGTATATCAAGGAATATGACTTAAAGATATTTACCTGAAATTTCTGAAGCTTAAATCCTTTCAAACGAATGATGGCCAAATTTTACTGGATGGAAATACAACACAGTAGGTGGACGGCTATGCTGATGCACACTTAATTCGTCTTCATGAATCCTGACAGCATTATACCACTCATGTCTCAAAGCGAGCAGAAGAAATTCATAGAAAACGTAAGTCTCAAGACAAGAATTTCGGAAAGCTACCCTGAAGTAAGGCGAATGTGGTGTAACGGCGAGCGAGGGCTCTCCAGAGAACAATATTTATTTGACATGCAGGTCACCGCACGTTAAAAATTAAGTAATTTTATATTACTTTATTTTGTGTAATGAATTCATTTAAATTTCATATTTTCTCTTTTATTTTATTTCGTTTCGTTTATTTAATTTAATTTTATTTTATGATTTTATTTTATATAATTCTATTTTAATTAATGTTATTTTATTTTTTTAATATTAAAATAAGTAAGTAAAATAATTTTAATTGTTTAAATTTTTATACACATTTTTTATTGTATTTTATTGTATTTAATTTAATTAATCCAATTTAATTAAATATTATTTATTAAAATTTTTATAATTGGTTTTATTTTTTATCTAATTTAATTTAATCTTATTTAATTTTTATTTTTTTCATTTTATTTAATTCATTTGATTTTTTTATTTTTATTTTATTTTGTTTCTATTTTATATCATTTAATGTATTTAATTTAATTATTGCATTTTATTTTATCCTTAATTTTATCATTTAGCTTATTTAATTTAATTTAATATTATTTTATTTTAGTATATTTTAATTTTTATTAGTTTTAGTTGATCCCAATTAATTTAATTTAGGTATAACAGCTTAAATTAATTTTATTTAAATTTTGAGATTTCTCATTCTGGTCTATTTTTTATTATTTATTTAATTTTATGTTATATTTATTTAAATGATTGTTTTTTATTCTTTTTGATTTAATTTTTCATTTTAATTAATTTTATTACTTATAAATAATATATGGCTTTTATATTTTATTTTATAAAATTTGTTTAAGTTATTTTATTTAATTTTTTATTTGATTTCCATTTCTTGTTTTATTATATTTAATTAAATTTTATTTTATTTTCAGATATTTAATTTTAGATTTAATTGTTTTTAATTTGTTTTTATTATTATTTTGCATTGCAATTTATTTGGAAAAATTCTTTTACTTTGGAATATACATATATGTACATATATATGCATGTGTATTCAACATGCTAATTTCCATGCTCTCTAATATTACCTAGTGGTATCTTGTACTCCGGGGAGGTTGGCTATGTTTCGAGTGTGAAAAGTGCAAATCATAACAGACAACCATTATAAATGACATTGAAGACTAAACAAGACAATAGTGGTAACATGTGATGCAAATAACGAGTACAAAAACAACACATACATTCACTCATACAAATTATTGAATAGGAAATATTGCCATCAATCGTCGCTATCGCCGGTCAAAATGTATTTGTGTGAAATAGATTTAGGAAAAATGGGGAAAAAATATAAGCAACCATAAAAAAGTAAAAATTTCAAATTTTTTTAAATTTCTGTGAAACTTCAAGCGTTCCAGAATATAAATATTCAATAAAAAATTTAAAAACTTAAGGTTTTTAATTTTTTCTCAAAATCTTTCGTTACATTTGACTAGTTTTCCTGTGACAAGGTTGAATTGGCAGCTCTGTCATTTTCTTTTGAAATTGTAGCATACATCTAGGCTGGCAGAGCTGCGCCTTTGGACATAAATTGCGTCGTTATAAACGACACTCGTTGCTCTGAAATACTCTCCGAAAGTTGTGGTGTGTTGAATTCGCATGGCGCTCTGGCTAAATGATACTCTCTCACTTTAGTAAATGTTTTACTGTGTACCTCTATGTATATATGTACATATATACGTATGTATGTGTGTGTATTTGTGTATGTGTTGCAAGCTTTTTTTTTTTAATAACAACAACAAATAACATAATTTGTTTACACAACTTTGCTGTTGTAACAATGCGTGTTGAGAGTGAAAGTGCCTATGCACTCGTTTTGTTGTTACTTTACGCCCATATTTGATTGACAGTTGAACCTGGCATTGAGCATTTCTGTTCGTTAGATTCGAAAAAAATATATATATATATGTATTATATATAACTATATATTCAGAGGCATAAAAGTTTACATTCAGACATTCGAACCTGCTCATATAACAAATACGTACACAAACCAATTTTTAGGCCGTGTACAATAAATTTGCATATGAACAAATATTAGTATTATCATTTTTTTTTAATTTAAAATATTTTTCATTTAAAAAAAACAACAAGAATTAATTTTTAAAAATTCTAATCATTGGGTGTGCGTCTGCGATAAAATTTAAGCCATGCCCAAATGTAGGCAATGTTTATCGTTCGAAAAATACTAAAATGAAGATCTGTTTCAAGAAAAATCAAATTTTATATATATAATTGGCGCTTTGGAACCGCTGAAGCGATTTTCGTCCGAGCTCCTGCTATAATTTGTGGTTTTACCTCTTGATATTTTTCCAACAACTGGAATATATTATACACTAAGCATAATTAATTTTGTATATGTACATTTATGTTTAATCTCAAGAAAAAATTTTTTTTAGCCTTAGAAAGTACTTCGAAGGAAAAAGTAAGGTGAGAATTTTGTGTAAAAATTTTTATGAAAAAATCAAATTTTTTTATGTCTTTTAAATTGTTCATTTTCAAACATATACATATGCACGTGTGTTATATTATTATACATAGATCTGTATACACTTAAATTTAATACATATATGTCTATCAGTTTTATCGAAAGTGAGCAACTTTTACTGTTAAACAATTGTATCTACCCTACGCTTTAGCCCGCGAGCGCCTATCGAACGTTTACACTATATGCTCAGAGAGTACGTTCGTGCGCCTAAAAGTAGGCGAGAGTTCCTTCTTTAGTTATATACTCATACTAAAGCGCATACATTTAGAAATATACATATACATCTATATGTATATATGGGTAGCAGCGTGTAGTAACCGTAATATTTTGTAGGTCCACACTCACGGAGCTCCCTACAAATACTTAAACCATTAACAACAGCAGCAGTCAGTTAGAGACGGTTGTGGATGACAGTACAACAAATCCGAAGCAAAAGATAAAGCAAAAATTGCAAGCGAAAAATACAACTACCAAACTAATATTGTGAAAAAAGTAATGTTAAAATGCTGATTTATTAATTGTATTGTGGTAAAGAAAAAATCTAAAAAAATAATAAAAAATTGTGAAAAAAATATTTACACTTAAAGTAAATTTTACTTGAAAGTAGCCAATTAAATGGTGATGTGAGAGTGATATTGGAAAAAAAGCAATTACTTAAATATATATACACATACATATGCACATATGTACATATATACAATTATAACGTAATTAAGCAATTTTATAGTAATTTTGAGGAAATCGACAGTGAAATCGTTTTAGAATTATCGAAAAAATAATACAAATAAATTTTGTTGTATAAAATTTGTTGGCTCCTTTGATTACAGTGATTACATAAATTTCAGCTGTTCAGCGTTTTCCTACATTTTCGTTCGACTTCAAGTGACGCAGTAACGTTTAAACTATCCTGGACTACACCAGGCAGCAGTCAGCAGTCTGTAGTCGCTCGGTCGGTCGGTCGGTCGGTCGGTGCTGGCGTTCTTATCGGTGACATCGCTTTAATCGTATTGTAACTGTTTCCACCTCAAAAATTATCTACAAGCTTTTGTGCGTATATACATATGTATATGTGTGTGAAATAATTGGCTCTATACGTGCAAGTGTTTAATTAAAATATTATACCTACCTATGTATGTGTATATATGTGTGTGTGTTATTAACACTAGCGATGTTGCTAAAATAAGCCACTAATCTCAGCCCCTCCAAACATTTTGAGTTTGAAAGAGAAAAAACAAAAAAACAAAGCAATGCTATTGATTTAGTTGTATCAAATATATTATGTACTGGAATTTAGTGTAAAAGTGGAGGAATTTCCAAGAAGAGAAAAGAAATAAACTCACAAAAAAATAAAGATAGAAATTTGCGTCAATTATTCTTACAAAAATAATTGTTTGTGTATATCATACTAAGCATTGTCATAAATTAAGAATTTGAAACACCTATATATGTATTGGCTTGAACATATATTTGTAAAAATAGAGCTAAACCAAAAGCACTTACTCATTTTTAATACCTAAACAGGCGAAAACTCAAGTATACACAATGTAAGTTTTTTTAGCTTTTAAGATATTCAAACACCTATTATAAGATTTTTATTAAATAAACAATAAAATAAAATACAATTAAATAAAATAAAGTAATAAAATTATACATATATAAAATAAAATAAAATAAAATAAAATAAAATAAAATAAAATAAAATAAAATAAAATAAAATAAAATAAAATAAAATAAAATAAAATAAAATAAAATAAAATAAAATAAAATAAAATAAAATAAAATAAAATAAAATAAAATAAAATAAAATAAAATAAAATTAATTGAAATAAAATTAATTGAAATAAAATAAAATAAAGCAAAATAAGATAAAACAAAATAAAGTAAAAATAAAAAAAATTATTATAGTTATTATTATTTATAACGCTCGAAAAATACTAGTATATATTATTGTGAAAAGGCGCCCAAGCGTGTTTAGTTTCAATAATTTTTTTTCGAAGTAAAAGCTACGAAGAGAAGAACGTGAGTTGTTTTGTTGTACATCAAATAGGTTTCCCGAATTTTCTTTAAGTGAAAACTGGAACATTTCGTAGACCTCCAACCTTGAACTGCATATTTGGAACATCGCATAGGTTACTGAAGATGTGAAAGTTCAAATAAGTCGTTTATCCCAAAGTTCCATGTTGTTGTTGTAACCGCAAAAATATTCCACAAAGTACTTTTTGGGGCAAGTTGTGTGAGTGACAATCCTTGGCCAGATAAAAATCCGGGTCGTTCCGGTATAAAGAACCGACTGTCGCGAGAATTATTGGAATTTAACCGCCTCTTACGACAGGCATGCCTTACCGCGGGTAAATTCTTGAATTCCTAATCCATCCTGCAGTTCCCTTCAAGTGCTTAAGTCTTAGATTTTATGAATACAAATATTGCCAAGTTGATATAAATGTATGCATGTTTGAAAGAAAAAAATGCAAGCTTATATATATATAAATGTGCGTATAGATTGTAGTTATTGCCTCCGGCAGTAAATCGTAATAACCTTGGCATTTCTCTTTTGCCACCGGCAGTCAAGCTGTCGGCCGTCCAAAGCGCCACAAGCCAGCTCCTTGATTTAATTCAGCTACGCCACGGTTCATATATAACACGCATACGTAAATATTTATATGCGCGGATAACCGACAACTGAAAGGCTCGTTGTGTTATCAAGTGAGATTCCCTACAATTCCACTGCTCCTGTTTGTTTGTTTGTTTATTGGATTTTTCTTCTCTCTTTTCACTGTTTTGTTCCTGTTAATCGTATTTTTGTTTTGTTAACTGTTTGTTCAGCTGTTTGGTTGTTGTTGTTTTTGTAAGGGTTGGTTTTATGTTTTTCGCTTTTATGCTTTAATTTTTTTCCGCCTACACAATGAATTTTTCATTGGTTCCCTATTGGCCTGGCCTTCATAGAGGTTATTCTACTGCCACCAGGCAAGCGCCTCTTATGCCGTTGGCAGTTTGTTTGGTTTGTATGTGAGAATACGGGGTACGGGGTAGGGATTTATGCTATGGCTCATTTACATAAGTCCACATATATACATACATTCTGAAAAGCATCAAGCCTTTATATTCTGAGGGATTTTTCTGCTAAAAGGAGCTGCGCTCTGCTTGAGGAATAAAACGTTCCTACATTAGGACTGCTCCAACAATACGTACAGACATGTGTGCTTGTGCATAACCTCAAAGATGAAAATGCTTACATTATTTGCATTCTATGTGCGGGCATTCCCTTTTGAATTTATATGCAAATGTATGCATAGCCATGTATAAATGTAAGTATGCATGTGTGTAAAAATACTAATTATTCACTTTCAGAGAATCATTTAACTTCTTTGTTGTTATGTTTATGTCATTGAAACGCCTAATTTTGGTGAAGATAATTTGTTGTTTTTGGCTTCAACGAGCTAAGCTTCACATACATTTTCATATCTACAGTTCTTGTGAAGTATTTCAATGGAGGAATAGTGAGGCAACTGTCGGAGCCATTATTCGGACCGGAGTTTAGTTTGATCAGTGCGTAGAGGAGACATTTACAGACCTGACGAATACTGGTTTTCTGCTCTTCGCAGTAGTAAGGAAACTTTTTAGCATACGGTATGGGAACGCGCAACAAACTGGTCCGGTAGATAATGAGGATAGGACGAAATATCTGCTGCCATGAAACAAACAGTCCTCCCGACCAATGCAGATCTACTCTTGCAGTTAGGTGCAACCTAAAACAGTAGCCATACTCATTAGCAGTTGGGAAAATGTAGTAAAAATTGAGATGAGGATTGCATTATAGAGTCAAAGCCAGGCGTTAAATACCTCGGCGTTACCATTGACCACAGACTAACCTTTCGTGACCACCTCAAACACGCTAATAATAAAGCCGCAACTGAAACAACTTAGCTAGGTTAAAGGCAAACGCCAGCGGACCGAGACAACAAAGAAAGCAACTTCTCGCTGTAGCAGTGAAAGTAACCGTGCTTTATGGCTTTAAGAATTTGATATCCATTGCTAGAAACAGAATCTTATGCTTGTAGCTTAAAGTCCAATTACCTTCAGATCACTCTCCGTACTGTATCTAAAGAGGCAGCCTTAGTTATTGCTGACTCTTGAAATCGCTGCGAGGTAAGAAGTCCAAATAGCGAAACTTAGAAAGACTTCCATCTATAGCCCGATGGTAGATAGGATGGAATAACAGCGCAAAACGAAGGTTGACTAACCGTTCGATACCGAGCCTAGTGGTATGGCTGGGCAGGAAGCATGAACAAGTTGAGTTCCATTTAACGCACTTGCGTGCTGAATAGTCAGAGATTCTTTAAAAGCTATCTTTACCGCTTTGGTCATGAAGCGGATTCCCAAACTGCTAAGTTTGTGGTTCAGTATTTATAGAAGTTTCCCAGCCCGCAATGGTCGTCTACACGCGTTTCTCGGGAGAGCTCCGAAGGCTGAACGAGTCTGTAGGCATCAATTTAGTGCCGAAATCGAAAATTATAGGCGCAGGTGTGATAACCGCGCACCATCGACGAACACTTCTGTTGACTACGTAATTTATGTACTAGTGACGAGTACATAGTGACGAGTACTGAAACCAAAACAAAGACGCCGACCTTCTGAAAGGTAGTGCCAGGGTTAAGGAAAGTCTCACAAGATTTTCGATGCTTTCCAATCTCTGCAAAAGAAGTTTCTACTTTAAACTAGTAGAGAATTTAACTATAAGCGATATCCAACAACATTGCGACAGTTCGGGAAAATAATATTCAGTGGCTAGACTGGCTAACAACAGGATACTGTTTTATGGGGCATAACGGGTTAGTACTTTAATAATTTTTTTCACAACCGCAAGGACGAAGAAGAGTAAGAGCATTTCGAACGCTGTCTCTGGAACTGCCTAGGCTTGAGTACTTCGCGTCCCTAGTTCCTCTCGCTGAGCCAAACTGGTGAGCAATCTTGAGTAGATGAGAAGGAAAATCACGTCGATATTACAATGCTGCCATAGATTTAAGAGCGTTGGTCATTGACCAACAACCACATCTACAAAGTGGTCACCGCTGTCCTGTAACAAATTAGTGAGCTGGAGAATAAAACACCTGCACGTTGCTCAAAAGCAACTGAAAATATTCCAGCTGTGGACCAAAGTGCTGAAGAAAGCCCAGGGTTGTCCATTCCTAGACGTTCTTCGAATTGGGCATTCCACAAATGACACACTATATGCCGCACAAGCAATGAAACCATCGATCTCTTCGGGGGAATATTTCCGGACTGGGTTATCTATCGAAGAGGTGATCGGAATTGGTCACCGAGATCTTGTGATTTCCACACCTTGCCAACGTCGGATCAAAAACTGAAAGCTGGAATTCGTAAAGCTATTGAGGGCATGCAGCAGAGCTGTCTCTTTGGAATTTGGATCGAAAATTTTAAATAAAAGAATACGATCCTGTGAGCGTAGCGATGGCGGCCATTTGGCTGATATTGTTTGCCATTATTAATGGCATAGCTTCTTATTCATATCGAAGTAACCATTCGTTCATTACCATATTTATATGAATATCCAAATATCATCTCTCATTAGAAAACACCATATTTTTAAATAAAGTGAAATTTGTTGTAAGAATTAATTAGATTTTTTTTTTGATTTTAAATTTTTCTTAAATCAATTTTTAAATTTTTTTTCATTATTTTTACATAAATTTATTTTCTTTAGTTTATTTCTTTAAAAAAATTCTTACTGTCCGCTCACTAGCACGCCTACCCTACATACACACACGCGAGCATTTATATTACATATGTATGTACGCCACTGGACAAGTCTATATGAATGCTCGTGTTTGAAAATGCTCTGTTACCGACAACAGTAGCGGTGAAATTTCATTCACATTTTTTCGTCTTCGAATAGCATTATTTTCAGGAGCACAAGCGCTGTAACGCGTATCGCTCTCTCAGCCAATGTCTGCTGCCACAGCCATAAAAAACAACTCCTGCTCTCGCTGCATCTCTCTCTTTCGCTCTCTCTCTCTCTCACACAAGTTTACAAAATTCGCTCAGTTATATTGCTGGGGCTATTGTTGACTGTTCGTAACAACAACAACAAAAACAACAACAACAAAAACAACAACACCAACAGCAGCAATTCAACGCGAATAGACAGCTGATCGGCGCACTTGGTGAGTGTTGGTAAATAATATGTTAGCAACAATAACAACCAAATGAGAATTCCGTTTGTCCTTGACAAGGTTTCACCGAGTACGAGTATTTGTTGTTTTGTGGGTGTTTTGTGTGTATAACCACTACACAGGCAGCAGCAGCAACTCGTTACAACGCGTCAATTGGACACTCAGGATTTGTTGGTTCGGCTGGACGAATTATTGCAGAATATACATATTCGTATGCTTGTAACACATATACATACATACATACATATATGTATATACAATATATTGTAAAGAGAAGTATTCGTCGTATGTATGTACATATGTACTTTTGTTTGAATCACGAACAGCTGCGGCTCATCAATTGCTTATGCGAT